AATGACTGACCGACTGTACTTCATCCTACTTATTACACTACAGCTGCTAAATATATACAATTGTGTGGTCATGAAATGTTGATTTGAGCTGAAATTAAGACACAAGAAAGATGCCACTAAAGGGACAGATGGGAGGAAAATTTATATTTCAGAGCTTTTGTGTGCACAAAATGTTACACTAAGAAACTAAGACACTAAGAAATGTGAGGTGGGAAGAAAAACTGCATTTCAATGCTTTTGTGATATAACTTTTCCTCCCATCTCATATTTTTTTTCCATCACTATGTGCCCTTAGGGGTTCAATACATTAGCATGAAACAGGATCAAATCCACCGGGCGAAAGTTAAGGCATGTTCACACCAAGGACAAATGTCCAAGGATAAATATAACAATGAATATAAAGTTATAAAAATCATTTTAATTTTAGGAAAATATATAGGGATGTTCACAGCACAACTATAATGATAACAACAAAAAGGAACAATATCATTAGAATCCATTTCAGAACAATTTTTTTTCAGCTCATAAATGATAAAAACATACATACATACATACAGCCAACCTGAATCCACCCAGCTTTAAAGAGCTTTGGGACAGGTGACAAAACTGCAGTGCACGCTTTAAGAGAATGCTATCATCTATTGGTGACTATCTTTCTAGTTATCGTTCTTGGTGTGAATGGGCCGCTGGTGAGCGGTCAGCGTTGCCATAAGCAACAGTGAATATTAGGAGTGTCTGATCGCGGAATGCTGCCTTTTGACCAATCAGAATCAAGTATTCCAGAGAGCCGCTTAAAGGGGTCATCGGATGCGACATGCACTTTTTACAAGCTGTTTGAACTTAAATGTGTGTTGGTAGTGTGTGTACACAACCACCCTATAATGATAAAGATCCACCCAGTCGCAAATCATTTGTGATCCAGCCTCACCTACAGAAGAAGTGAGTACAAGGTTCTTTTATGAATCTTTGCAAATCACCTTTCCTAATAACGTGCTAGTTAGCAAGTTCCGCGGCTAAAGTAAACAGTATCATGAGAACGGCTCGTCACCTCACGGAAGAGAGGGGCGGGGTTCCTTATCATTTAAAGGAACATGCACTAAAACGTCTTGCTGAAAACAGCTGATTTTGACAAGGTAAAAAGGGTGTTGTTTTACACTACCATTGAGAAATTTTAACCAAAGTAT